ACGTCGACGCCAGGTTGGCCATGCTCGTCAGCGTGTCGGGATGCTCCGCCCCAAGCACCCTCGTCCTCGTCTCCATCACCCGCATCCCCAGCTGCTCCGCCTCGCCCCACCGCCCCTGGTTCCAGTACGTCAACGCGAGGCTGGCCATGCTCGTCAGCGTCGAGGGATCCTCCTCGCCCAATATGTCCTGTCGTATGTTGTTGGAACATTGGCACATCTCTTCCGACCTGCTAAATAATCCTTGCTCTCTCATATACCGGCCCCCACGATTGCAAATAGACGCTTTGTGCAACAATGCGTTGCGATCTTTCATTTTGAGACTCATTGCTGCAATGGCATGCGGCAAAAGCTTTTGGCACATCTCCCAGTTCTCGTAGGCTCCCGATGGGAATACATCGTCAAGACTACGAGCAAACACTTCCTTCCAATGATCCGCCTCCCCTTGTGAGTCCAGCCATCGTCGCGTTGCAAGTTGCACTAGGCGATGCATCTCGAACGTCGAGCTGTCGACGGTGCTCGACACAAAAGCGAACCCCTCCAGAATGACGACGTCCTTATCGAACTCCTCTTCCGCTTGTAACGAGGTCTCGGACCCACTATCGCTCGGGCTCCCTCCATTATCGGTCTGCTCTTGAGTAATGCTGTCGCTCCTTTTGTCCTTGTCCGACGCTTGTAGTAGAACGCTCGGTATCGCTTGCCGGTCGCAGAAGCACATCAACGACAACAAATCTGCCGCCGAATGCCGCACCTTACGGATGTGCTCGAACGAGATCTGCCAAGTTAGAATGATCGCATTCTTGGCCTCGGGGTCCCGCCGCAGATCGCTAGCATCCTCGTCGAGGATGCTCTTCTTTGATCGATCGCTCTTCTGCAGCTTCTCTAGATACTTCGCGATCGACGATCGCATGCCACGCTGCTGGATGTAGGCCGCCGCCTGCGTCATGGCTAACGGCATATAGTCTAATGCCGCCGCGAGCGCTCCGTTGTCTTTTCCTCGCCCGAGCTTCTTCTCCAGGAGTGCCGTCGCTTGCTCTTCATTCATAGGTATGACAGACACGATAGCACTTCGTTCCACAAGCCTCGTCGCCGCAGACATGCTTCTGGATGTGATTAGTACAGCGCCCTGGTCATGTACCGGCAGCAGTTCCAACAGAGACGCCTTCCCATCGGTCCGCTCCACGAGAAAGTCTACTTCGTCGGCGTTGTCGAGCACGATTAGCCACTTCCTCGTCGCTCTCTCGCGCAGCCAGTTGCGAAACAGCGTAGGCATGTCCGCCTGGGGCTCTGACCGCCCGGGAATGCGGACCAGCTCGGCGATGTCGCGTACGCTCTGCTCGTATCGCCCTGCGTTGCTTGCGTGGACCCACAGTACCCACGTGTCCGGCGACGTCTGGCGCACATGATGACAGTACTCGATGGCGATCTGCGATTTACTGTCGACACGTCAGCCGGGATGGATTTGGTGCTGACGTCGATGATCTCTGTGTCGATGGCGATGCCGACAGCGCCCCACATACCCTACACCCCCGAGTCCCACCAGCGCCAGCCGTGCTGCCGGCGCAGCCAGGGTGGCCGTGATCTGTGCGGTTACTTCTGCGCGCGCGACAAAGTCGGGGTCGCGTCGGAACGGGACGTTGGATGAAGGTTCCTCTGGCGTCGCAGATCGCGCTGCCGGACTGCAAGTTAGCTGCGCACCCGTCGCGTGGCAGGAGTTTGTCTCACTAGTTGTCATATGGATCGGACCGTTGTTCACGCCGACCTGAACGCTGTGGCTGCTGTCGCCGAAGGTGATGTGGCTCGATTGCGCGTTCGCCATGATGCGCTGTGCGTCGCACGGGCACCGTCCGAAACGCTCCTAACGAGGTGAGCACTGTAGATAGGAAGTCAAGGATGGAAAGAGGTATGGCCGCCGCAAGGCTGTGTGCGCTGCGCCCCTCATCATATGCATGAACCCCACAGCATGCTGCCCGACTCGGCTGGGGCTTTCAAGTATATAATGGCGATAACGCATTCTGCCGCTCCTGTACTCATAAACAGATGGTCATCGTTTAGGCTTACACGTCAACTTCTAATTTCACTTCGGCATGGCAGATCCTTTGAGTGTCGCAGCTGGTGTCGTTGGTCTGGTCGTCCCAGCCGTGCACGGATTGAAACTTCTCAAGGCTGACCTGGATCGCATCGTCGACGCGCCGGCTGCTGTAGCCAGACTGAGGGATGATGTCGCCTCACTCGACGGCAGCCTGGCTCAATTCAAAGACATCGACCAGTCTCTCTGGGCTTCCCTAGGCCCTGCCGTCTTACGGCAGTCGGCTACTGCTCTGCAAAGCTGCGAGTCCGTCTGTGATACGATCCGAGGCGATCTCCACCGCTGGACGAAGCGCTCTACCGGGGGCAGCTTGTCCTGGCGCGACCGAGTCAACGTCGGCTTTTTCAAGGAGCAGCAGTTGAAGGCATACGCCAGCCAGCTGCAGACGCAGAAGCTTACCTTTACTATGGTTGTGGGCACAGCTAATCTGTATGGATGATGTAAGATGCTGCACCAAGTCTGGTGGACACTGACGACATTAACAGTTACAGTGCCCTCTGCAACACACGCTTGACAGAAGAGCTTCGTGGAGCCATCGTCATACAGCGGCAGAGCATTGAGGCCGCCGGCAAAACTATACACTCCGACGTCGCCAATCTGCAGCGTGCTCTGGAACAAGCAAGTATAAGCTCTGATGCCGGCTCCGCTGAATATGAAGAGGATCAGGAAGCTGCTGCCACCACTCTCGAAGGGCTCCAAGAGACGCTGCGTATCTCTCAGGCATTGCTCGCAGAGCTTCAGAAGAAGGCACAGGAGCAAGATGTTGCACGTGTTTCAGAACACAGCGGTGCAAGGACGACGATCACATTTGGGAACAGCACCAACAGCATGCAGGTGGGCTATAATCATGCCCCCATTACGTGGAACAGCAAGCCGTGAAGTATATGAGAGCAGTTGAAGTTATCAAAAAGTTATCAAAGAAGCTTTCAAGCCTGACGTGAGTTGAGTTATTGTGACTCCATCCGCCATTTACACACAAGTATCCTTTTCAAAATTCAAAACATGACAGTGGTCCTGGAGACCCATCGCTGCCAGCTCCCGTCGCGCCTCAAGCGCTTCTTCCTCTGCGGAGCTCAAAGTCCGTGCGACAGGTACGTAAGATGTCTCTGTCGCGATAGTCGTGCCACCCGCAATTTTCTTCGCATCCCTGACGCTGCGTTGCCTCTCCGCCTCGAGGATGTCTTCATACGACATGACTTTGGCGCGGCCGACCATCGTCCGCCGGACTGACTCGCGTACTCGCTTCTCGTTATTCTGCTCGAACAACAATTTGTTGTCGTCGAACAGCATTGCTCGATCAGCATACACTTTCTCTGCTGCATTGTTAAGCTTATTGACGAAGAGCCGCGACTCTTCGTCGCACGCATCGAATTTATTCTGCAATATAGATCGCACATGCTGAAAGTCATGCAGAGTGGTCGGCATGCGGAGCGTTAGCTCCGACGTGGAATGATCATTGTTGCTAACGAGACTATTTCGAGCATTTATTGTCACGGTTGTGCACGGCACACCAGGAGGACGCTGGAGCTCGCCGAGGACACGATTAGGGTTGAAAGGGAACAGGCCGGCTTTCGACCAGCCGGGACGGATGTTGCGTGGGGTCACGGCCACGTCGCGCGCTTTATGGTACAACGATGTGAAGTGCTGCTTGCCAATCGTGTTCGCCCCACCACGGTACAGTCGTTCGACCTGGTCGCGATATGCCGTCTTCAGCGGGCCGAACACACCTACATCACAAGGCTGCAACTTATGCGAGGTATGCGATGGTAGTCTACATAGGATGATATCGTTTTGAAAGCAATACGTCAGGACCTCGAGCGACTCGTGTGTGCTGAAACCATCGCTGATCAGCACACGAGGTCGTCCTTGGACATAGTGCCAGCCGGGTGTAGGGTGTATTGTCCATGAACTACGATGGGTGGCCGCGGGCCAGATGATCAGCGGATGCAGGGACCTACTATCAGCGGAGATGCATTCTACTGCAGTGATGAGCGTCCGCTGCACGCACGACGGTCGGGCTGCGCGCAGTTCATCGCGATCGACCAGGGCCTTCAGCGACGCGAGCACACTCAGCATCACTCCGGTCTCGTCTATGTTGTACACGTTCTCCTACAGCACCGCCACGGGCTCGAGCTGCGGCTAGATGATTGAAAACCACTCTACTACCTTGTCGTAGATACTGTCATCACACCTTTGACGGTCGATGGCTTTCGTGCGACGGGCACGCAGCTCAGAGTGGCGCTTGTAGAAGCCCTGCGGCCAGTTCTTCCCTGGTGGCGGCACCTCGTCACCTAACGACGTCTGAAAGGTGGAGTAGCGCTGACGCCGGATAGTTTGGGCGAGAATGCGCAACGACTTGACAGGCAGCGGGCGCCGCGTGTGAGCCATGTGCAGCATGGATTCTGCCAGCGCCCGCTCTTCCGGTGGTGAGAGATACTGCTGTCGGGCGGCCTTGTCTTGTCGAGACGGACGACTGTAGCGTCGGTACCACTGAGTAGCTCGGGATAGAATCTTTTCGTCGGCGTCGGAGGAGCACGCCTCCATCCGAGATGCACGTTTGACATAAGGGTCTAGAAATAGACAGTCCACTGAGAATGTATGGCGATGATGCGTAGGCATGGCTGTTTAGGGTTGACGGCTTTAGGGTCGGCTCTCCTGGCGGTCCAATTCATTGACATCAACCGTCCGACTTGCATCCTGTTCTTTACCGTGTTCCCCTATCACGCTTCGTGAGAGAAGAAGCTCCTTCTTCGGGGCATCGCTATTGTCAATAGCTTTACGTACGACAAAACGTTGCCTTTGTATTATCAATCAGCTGGCCGTAGCACCACGACTTGTGCAAGACCTACTTGTGGCCTGGTCGTCGGCGCTGGAAAGCGTCTTCCGCAACCGCAGGCGGAGCTGCAATGACGATCAGAGTACTCGCCGTCATGCTGAGACCTTGGCTGAGCACTTCCATTTCTGACGAGACTATGGTCGCGATGCCTATGAGAATAAATGCAATCGTGAATTTCGTCTGTGATGTCGGGGAGTGTTTTTGCGATGCAGTTCCGTCTGTTGTTCATTCCGTCAAAACGACGAATAGGCGATGATATTTATTGACTAATTTACCTAGATCTCGTGTACGGGAAGCGCGGTTCATGTGCGCGATTGTCGGCTTGTAACATAGTGACACAGTAAATGATAGAATGTTGTACAGAGTCATTTTCAGAATGGTGGCATCTACTTATCATGGATTGGGACATATGTGCCCGTCGTCCTGCGAACAATGGACATGTTTTCGGCAACTTTCGCGTGGAGTACAACATGCATCTTCTGGTTGCATAAGATGACGATGCATCGTCCATAATGCTTCCATCCTGCAGCCACTCCCAGACAAAGCAACCCGGATTGATGAATCGTAATTCAGCAATGTTTATACACTTTCCCGGTGGAAGCCAACAAACTTTGTTATGTTCCCAGCTCGAAGACCATAGTTGCTCCCGGGTGTGTTCTGTACCTCCCGAGGGCGACCATGAACATTTGTAAGAAGCTCCAGCCGACTCGAGCAGCAGGCTGTGGGGTTCGTGCATGTGATGAGGCGCAGTCCATGCAATCCTCACAACTGCATTCATCCCCTCTTCACTGAGTATTTGCGATGCTCGCCGTGAACATTTCACACAACGTCTATGCGACGCACAGCGCATCATGGCGAACGCGCAGGGTTAGGGTTAGGGTTAGGGTTAGGGTTAGGGTTAGGGTTAGGGTTAGGGTTAGGGTTAGGGTTAGGGTTAGGGTTAGGGTTAGGGTTAGGGT